TCAGAGCTATTTTAAAAACAGTATTAGGAACAGCATAAATATTATTATTCAAAAATATCAGACACAGTCACTCAAAATTTTAAAAACATTAACTGGTATTTTATAACAAGTTTTTAAACCTGGCTCTTTAGGCAGGCCTTCCCTCCAGTCAATTAACTGATTTTCTGTTTCTTTAATTATCCCATCTTGACAATGTATATAGAAATTAGTTTCTAGGTTTTTACTATGTATGTTATATTATTGTGTTTTATTATTCATGTAAGCCGCCTGAGTAGACTTTGTCTAGGGGGCCGGGGTGTAAGTCCAATCGAGTAGACTTTGTCTAGGGGGGGCGGGGTGTAAGTCCAAAAAAAGTAAAAAGTAAAAGTTAATCAAAAACCTAAGTATCTGTTAAATATCAGTGCAGTATTACGTTGTTCCTAATACTGCTGCTGCTGCTGTTGCTATACCTCCACACCCATATCTCTGAAACAGAGCAGGCATATCCTCCCCCTATGGTACTAAAAATTTCGTTCACTTCAGATGAACAGGGGAAAGGTCATACCTATTTGTATATTTCCAGTGTTAATTCATGAAGGCCTTGACTTCCAAATCAAGATTTGGATTAGAAATGGTGTCCTTCAATGAATGAATGAATGAATGAATGAATGAATCTACCCTATACCAATGAGCAAACTGTAGCAACTACCCTGTTTCCCTGAAATAAGACCTAACCTGAAAATAAGCCCTAGTATGATTTTTCAGGATGCTTGTAATATAAGCCCTACCCCAAAAATAAGCCCCAGTTAAGTGAAACCCCGCCCACTATTATTGTGCAGCAACCAGAAGAAGATGACATGACTGTATTTGAATAAATGTAGATTGTTGTACATAAAAAAATAAGCCCTAATGCTTTTTTTTTTGTTTGAGCAAAGATTAATATAAGACCCTGTCTTATTTTTGGGAAAACACAGTATGCTGCTGTCTTTGTTTCTCTTCCTTACTTGTTTTGATTTCCATTTAGCTGACAATCCCCTGCTTTTTCCAAATGACTGGTCTTAATTCCACCATTGGGGAAAGTGAAAGAGGCATGGCTGAGTTTTGTGATGATAACAAGCCATTATGTAAACTCCTAGCAACTCCTTTCACAAAAGAGCACCTCTGCAGGTCCACAATACCTCCCTTTCCCAGCTGGAGGCAAATGGGCTTTAGGAGTCAACTAGACCCTCAGCTTCTCTGAAGGCTGCTGAGAAATGATTGATTGAGGCCATTTATCTTCTCTGGAAAAATGAGTGCTGAACAGAAGGGAGAGCCAGTCTCCCTTTTATTCCCATGGTGGCAGTCTGTCTCCTTGCTTCTCCCTTCCTTGCACTTGTCTACCCCCCCCCATGCCTCTGCCAGCATCTTCTGTTCATTTCACACAGACTTGTAATTTTTTTAAAGAGTCCTGTTGCACCAGACAAAAGCTTTGTCTCCTAATAAAAGCATGCCCGTGCCCCCTATTGATGCCACTTCCACTTTGTCCAAGCTACAGCTTCTCCCACTGCTGCTTCAGTGCTTTAAGGCTGAAGAAGAAGGAGAGAAGGGGAAGAGTCTGTGCACAAGGCACCAACTAGCACAGTGTTCTCCTGCCATGACTGACTGTTTTAACACTGTGTCCTCAAACATTCCAGTCCTGTGATTCCTTACTTTCACATTTGAACTACTAGCAGTCCCTGGGTGGCTTGTGGTTATTGGGGAATCACTATCAGGCATGTAGAACCTGCAAAGCTTGAGAAGTTGCTTTTTTGGGGATCTGTCCTACTAGGTTAATTGGCCAACATTGTGAGAACTAGCTGCTCCATTCTAATTCCACCCTTGAAAAAGAGGTGAACAAGTTCCTGGCAGGCACAGTTGGAATCCTTCCCTCCTCTAACTGCCAATTTGTTGGACACATGTGTAGGCACTTGTGCTAACGCTATGTTTAGCAATAACCTCCTGGATGCTTTAATCTGCTCACTGGAGCCATGAATTATGTTCCTTAAATGTTGGTGTATCAAAATGTTGCTCACTCCAGTCTTGCTCCTTTGATCAACTCCGAACCCCACAGCTATATAAACCACCTCACTTTTTAACTAACCCTTAGTTTTGTGCACAGATTGTGCCCCAAATCACGGCCTCTGTACAATTATCTTGGAATACTTCATGTTGGATGAAATGGGGTGCACTCCAAAAATCTAATTAGCTCTTCTGGAACACATGCTCTGATGGAAAGCATCGAAAGGTAACGTGAAATTCTGTTACATATATACGATTATTAAATGATACAAGCAATAGCGCTCTCTCTAGGCCAGTGCATTTCAGCCTACCACGGGCCCTCTTGCTTTCTGTGACTATAACAGTCTTATTCGTTGGCCAGCATGCCTAGTGTTAAGACCTTGAAATGATGGGGGCTGAAGTCCAATATCTTGGAGAGTATCTGTGTTAGGTTCAGGAAAAGTGCTCTGGACCATCAGCAATTTGTAGGAACATGCAACCTGGGAGATTTGGTCAGTTACAACTATGCAAACAGGCATTTCCAGGTAAGGTTATAGAGTTATAATCCAACTTTAACCATGGCAGTGCCTATGGAAGACAGTCATCTATGCTCTTAGCAGAGTCTGTAAACTGGATTTAAGACAGGACGACAGGATTGCTGCGCAGAGAACTGTTTTTCATTTAACTGAATTCCTATCGTTCTGTTTTCTTAGCTGTCCACAAAGTAGATGATTTATAATTCAATACACCTGACTTTACTATAGGAACTGCGTAAAGCACCCTAGTGTGATGTTCAAACCAAACCAGACAAGTTTTTCAAGCAAGGAAAGTATATAATCTCATTATTTCACTGGAGCTTGAAAAACATTACACAATATACCATAGACTGAACAGAAATGAATTGTTTCTTCCCCATACAGAAGAAAGCACATTGTGTGATATGGAATGAATCAATGAAGAGGTCCACAGGAGTGATGAGAATATAGTTTGGAACTTCAATAGTTTCACCATTTGCAAATATGGCTCAGTTTTAAGGACAAGGTGTTGAATTTTAAGGATTCTGCTTTCCTCCCACAATTTCACAGCAACTTCAGGAAGGCCAGTCTGTCATACTTTGCTGCCTCCTCCAAAGTCAACAGAACCCAGCACTGGCTTATATTTATTCTCCTCTTCCCAGGAGGTAAAAATACAATCATGAGAAATCAACTCATAATTGTAATTTGACAGGCTGGAAAAGTACAGAAACTGCTCTTTGCTGGAATGCATGTTGCTTTAAAGCAGAAACAAGGAAAAAGACATGCTCTGCTTTTGGGTAGAAATCTTCTATCTGGTTGGGGTGGTTGTCTTTGACAAAGCAGTACTGAAGATGTAATTACTAGGCAGAACCTGCTTAGAAAAGTGACATTACTGGGCTCTTTCTGCTCAGATGCCCCTGCTAGTAGAGCCATTGAATTGTAATTTTTTTAAAAAATACATTTTCTGGGTAGAACAACTGCTGAACGGAGAGGTTTCAGATAAACTATGAAGCTGGTGAATGGGAAAGCTGCGGCTGCCTGCCTGGGGGTTCCAGTTCCTCCTGACAACCATAATGACTTTCATGATTGCCTGTTAAATAGAACACCTTGGACAAACAAAAAAGTTCTTTTACACCTCCAGGCCTAACTGGAAGAACACTGATAATCAAGCACCAAATTGCCTTGCAGAACTGAAGGAGAGTTTTAAAAAAAAAGGTGGTGGTAAAATCCTCCAAATGAATTTGAAGCAAATGTTTTTCCTTTTACCCTGATAAGCTTAGCAACATGTAGCTTGCTCTTTTTTTCCTATTGGTCAGCCATTCCCTCTTCAGCCTATCCCAGGCCAGCCAAAGTTCCTCTTCTAACATATTCCTTCCTGCTGGTTGGGATCTTGGCTACTCCTCAATCCTGCCGCCTGAGGCAGCCATCTCACTTTATTCCGGTGGTTCCCAACCCTGTCTCCAGATGTTCTTGGACTGCAACTTCCAGGACAGCTAGGGGTGAAAACTGTGGAGTTTTAGTCCAAGAACACCAAGGACTCAAGGTTGGGAACCATTGATTGAATCACTGGATCAGCTCCAGGCTTAAAGTAAAACAGTACCTGATGTACAAGTATCCTTGCTCCTGAGGCGAAAATATTGTCCAGCATGCTCACTTGTGAGAGAGCCTATGAAGTCAGTCATAAATAAATGGCTACTAAGGCAGTGAAATGCACCCTTCAGGTTCAATTGTGGCATCCTAGTCATAAGGCAGTGAGGAAGTGCACTTACCTTCCTGCTCCTAGGTTTCCCATAGTCTTTTGGGGAAAAGCAGGGGGGTGGACTAGATGGCCTTCGGCATCATCTGGTAGGGCACCTCTTTACCTTCTTTTCCCACCATGTTCCTTCTTCCATACATGTGGATAGGATTGCCCCCAAGTCAATAACGAGGTTCCTCCCCCAACCCCACTTTGAGTATTGCCCAGAAATATCCGAGCAGAATTTAGGCAAGTCATGTTTCTGGATTGCAGTTCCATAGATCGCTCAGCTACAATGGCCCCTGGTCATGCTGGCTGAGGATTCTGGGAGTTGTAGTTTAAAAAAAAAACACCTACCTGAGCTCTTGGATTGAGGATGCTTTTCATCCTACCCTAATGGCAGGTCTGGCTCTGGACAGAATGACGACAGAATTCCAATCTAGTGACCAGGAGGAGAGCTATTAGAGGTCATAAAGCGGCATTTTTATTTCCATGCCGCTTGGCCTCATTGTGAAGAAAAGATCAAAGAGCTAGGCCGCTGCCTTTCATCTTCTCCCCACAACACTGAATGCTCTTTATTTGCTTTGTGTGTTAACTACTTGTGCCAACCTCATTTTAAGGCTTCAGAAGCCATCCTGGCATGAGTTATATTGGACCCATTGAAATTTACTAGCAAGGACTAGAACCCTGAAGAGGTGCAGAATCTTCCATGCACCCAAACACAAACCCAGGCAGAATGGTGGGAGGTATCTGTGTTTAAGGAGACACACTCTTGGTGAACTCGCTTTTTCTCTTCAAGGAAACCCGAAGAAGCAGAAGTGAGCCCAGTTTGGAGGGTTTAAACGTGGAACAATGAAAAGATGTATAAAGACACAGTCACTCTTTAAAATAACAATTCTTGGGAAACTGTATTCTCTTTAAGAAATTGCATCAGCTTTCAAAGCAGAACTGGAAGGAATTTAATTTATTAATGTATTGCTTCCTTCTTTGCCTTTCATGTCAGTCCTTAACATGTGTCAGGCTACACAACTAGAAATGTACAGATTTGGGGTTTTGGACTCGTAACTCCCAGAACGCTGTAGTTAGCTATGCTGTTTGGGGAATTCTGTGTGTTCTGGTCCAAAAATATAAATCTGCACACCTCCATGTTTATGGCACCTGTAGCTTCAAAACAAAGTAGAGTAAGGGATTGGGACATGAGGCAGATACATGTTATGTATGCATGGCATGGAAGAAGTTGATGGATAAATACTTTTCTCCATGTGTAATAATACTAGAAATCAGGGTCATCCACTGGGGCTGAATCACAGGAGATTAAGAGTGGCCAGATTAGAGGAAATAGGTCTTCAAACACTGCATAATTAAACTGTGGAACTCACTGCCACAAGATGTAGAGATGTTTTGCCATGTTGCGTGATTTTAAAAGGAGATTAGATAAATTCATAGGGGCCAGAGTTTACTTCCTGTATCAGAAGCGGCATGTCTCTGTATCTCAATTGCTGGGACACATGAGGCAGAGGGTACAGTTGCACTCATGTCCTGCTGTGAGCAAAACAGAATATGGTTGATCACTGTTTGAGCAGAACGATGGGCTCGACAGGCCTCAGATTTGATCCAGCCTAGCTCTTTTCACGTTTCCATTATCTGCAATCAGCCCACTCAAGTGGCCAAGCTGGTGGTGAAAGGTGGGAGTAGTAGTCCATTACGTGTGGAGGGTATTAGGCTGGAGGAAGCTGAGCTAAGGACTCAAACCCTACCGCTCACCTATGTCCAAAAGGAATGCCTTTTCTCCTGTTGCACCCACACTCCACCCCTGTGCATATTTACTTGGGTAAGCAGCCCTGTTAATCTTAGCAGAATTTACTAAGTTCAGGATTGCCATCAATGCACACTCACTTGGGAGTAAATCCCCCACATCCATCGTTGAGTGTACTTTCTGCAAAGATTTTCACAAAATCCTGCAGCTTACACAGTAAGCTCCTGTTTGTTCTCCGTATTCAGGCCAATCATGCATCTAAATCATGACACAATTGCAAGTCACATGTTCCTGTGTACACAATACTGGGAAGGCATTTGAGCTTTCATAAATACATTATACATCCCAGGTACAGCTCTGGGAACTCCATTAACCAGCCATCCACAACATGAAAGGAATAATGATGGTCGGAAGAGCCGTGGAAGGGGCCAGGCCCGAGTAGAGTATATAAATCAGTCCCAGCAGCACCGAAGCAAGAGCACTCCTCTGGTCCCGAATAATCATCTTCACTGTTTCACAGAACTGCAAAGATCAGAACAGAAAGGTTTAGAATGGAAAATCCAAGGTGATTAAACCCCATTCAGGCAAATCATGCTGTTCTGTAGGGAAGGGAAAAGCCCTCCAGATGTTGCAAACTATATGTCCCACAATACTTTCCCACTGGTCATGCTGACTGAGGCTTCAGGGAATCGAAAGCCAAGGATCCCAACGGCATCTGCACCATATAGCAAGGCGGCTACTGTTGGGCTGGATAGTGTGTCATTTCAGAGATTGTGAGCGTGCACTCTGCAAGCCAGTCTTGATAGACTGCAACTCTTTAAATGAACAGGAGGCTCCCCGCAATCCCCTTACCACCCAGTAATTCCTGTACTTTCTCAGAACAAAAGGTCAGCAGAATTGTACTATCTGCAACCTTTAAACCTGGGTATTGCTTTGGGATGAAATGCATGTTAGTGACATGTACAGGAAAAACCAATAGTCATTGTCACTGCTTGGAAACTTAATTATTTTGAATACAATTCCCAGAAGCCTGCTGCAAAGGGGAGAGATTTCAGGGAATGATCGTCCAAAAAGTAACATCGGCAAGCTCCTATCTTTGGCTAACCTGCCAATCTACAGTGGACCCTTGACTTACAGACAGCTTGACTTACAGACTTTTTGAGTTACAGACTTCTCTGGCCGCAAAATTTAGGTTTGACTTGCAGACTGAGATTTGACTTACAGACCAGAAAAAAACCAAAATGGTACAAAAACGGCCTGTTACGGGATTAATCGGTTTTCAATGCACTGTAGGTCAATGGAGACTTGACTTACAGACTTTTTGACTTGAGAACCGCCTTCCAATACGGATTAAGTTCTCAAGTCAAGACCCCACTGTATACTGTCAGCCAGTTTGTAACTTAGAATAGTGACCAGTGTGGCAGTAGTGGGATTTTAAAATTGCATTTAAGCTGTAGGAATGAAAAATTCAGAACTAACTGTCCTATTTCTGAAGAAAACATATGCATGTTTTTTTAAAAAAGAAAGAAACCAGGGGGCTTAAAGATTTGTGTGAGTTCTTTCCAGCCAAGCTATTTATTAGGCCATTGAAGCAGGACACAAAAACTCTGTTATGTGAGCAGTGCTAAACAGTAACTCCAATTAAAATCAGTTCTTGTCTCTCAGAAGCCTGGCAAACTTAAATGGCTTCACTGGCATTACACACAGATTCAATATTTTTTTCAAAAAGCAAAATGAAACCAAAATAGCCCTTGCTTTGTTCTCTGCCTGCATGGAGCCCAGAGAGCTGGCTAATATGTGCTACATTTTAATTAGCCACTCAGAATCACTGCCGCCACTAAAAGACAGTGTTTGCTTGGTATCTAAATACAGTACAGTATATCTGATATTTTTCCTTTTGCAGACTTCATCTAACTCCGCTTGTAAAGCTTGCCCCCTCCCAGCACCACCCCTCTGCTCTCGCCGTCCACGGTCGACCCCCCCACCTCTGCCCTTGCCTGGTACCTGCGGCGGCCGCCCGGGCAGCAAGTCTGGAACTGCCGTGCCGCCGGGAAAGTGTGTCCTTGGCAAGGCGAGGCGGGTACCGCAGGGCCAGCAGGTCCACCAGCCATGACCTCAGGTGAGGCAGGGTGGAAAAGGGGCCTCCTCACCAGGGCACCAGGCAGGCGGGCGCAGGCAGGAAGGAGAGCCCCAGTCGGGGCTCCGCTGGGCAAAGAGTCCAGCTGGCCGGGTCCACCACCCTCCCCCCACTTTGGAGGCGAGGAGGGCAAGCGGGTGCCCTGTGCAGTTCCTCGCAGGAGCTTGCTCTCCCCGCAACAGAATGCCCGCCTACACACAGCATCATTGGAAATAAAATGCCTGCCGCAACCATCCTCATTACCCCCAGGATTTTCATTTTTTACTCCATTTGGGGCAATTTACCCCTGTTCCCTGACCACTGCCCTGAGCTAACCTGGGGCCACTGCTTGTGCTGCCTAGTCCCTGCACAAATGTATCTTTATTTCACTGAAACATGGGCAAAGAGATTGGCTCCACTGTTAGCACCCACATTCTCCATTACAAAGTATTTATTCTTGGAAACTTTATGGTTTGGATTCCCAAATCACCAGATAACTCAGATAGCATGGCTACTGGGAGGACAATCCAAGAGAAGGAATTGAGAAGGCTCTTCTAAAAGATGTCATAACCGACACCCTGAATTTAGTGGCACCCAAGCAGATGGCTGTCACTAAAGCTTCAAAAAGTTCCTTTCCAGATTAAAATTCCCAGTGGTTCAGGAATTTAGGGTGGCAAGAAATGAATGGAATGGCATTGCTACATCCTGAAAAAATACTGTAAATTGACTTTTTTTGGAAAGGTGGTATATCACCAGCCTCTACAACACACTGGTTTTGGAAAGATTACTTTCCAAATCTTTATTCCAAATCTGGTTTATTCCAAATCTGGAATTATTCCAAATCTGGAATAATCCCTCTCCGGAGATCCATGCGGTCCCTTCGCTGGGCATCTTTTAAAACCAATTGAAAACTGGGATGTTTAGGCAGGCCTTCCCCTCAGCTATTATTTGATTTATTTATTTTTTCCTATTTCTTTCCATCTTGAATAACTCTATTACTATTAATGTTTAAATGTTGTTATATTTTATATTGTTATTATTTATGTTGGAAGCCACCCAGAGTAGTCACTTGACTAGATGGGCGGGGTAAAAATGCAATAAATAAATAAATAAATAAATAAATTACAGTGTGCGACCAAACTTAATATTTTCATTTACTCAACGTTGTTAAATTCCAGGACTAGGATTTAAATGGTCCCAACCTCAACAACATTAAAGAAGTTCCAGCCAAAAAAGAAAAGCAGGCTGCACTCAACTGCTGAGTCTAATGATTCCAAGTTCCTATTAGTATGGTATCTTTACCACACCAACTGAAAAGACAAAAAATTGCATGCATGCTTTTGAGATCTCCACATAAATTTTACTCGGGAAGGACACTACAAAAAGCAGCAGGAGCACAGGAAACAAGGGAGCCACCACTCTGATCCTACATTTGTGATATCAACATCAACCCAAACTTCCCGCCTCCCCCAACCTGCTTCTGCTAACGTCTGGTAACTTCTTGCAATGTCAAAACACCAGGAGATCTCAAAAGCAGCGCAGATTTTTCCACCCTTTTTGATGGTCCAATAAAGTTACTAAGGCTAATGTTGACTTGGAAATTTTCCTATGGCCAACACAGCTACATTTGCTTTCTGTGGGACATATTCTGCTCTAAAGAATTAGAAGTTACACTTCGAGAATACTGTTAATTGTAAAAAAAAAAATTTTTTTGCAGACACCTAAAAATTGTTTTTAAAAGGGGGAGGACAGAGTGGCATGTACTCGTCCCTGCCTGAATATCAAAAGGCCAGAAAGCAATGGCAACCTTAGACTTCAAGCCTTTTGAAGGCATCATTTTTTGATTTTAATGAAATACAGTATACAGTATTAAGAACACTATACTGTACACTGCTTCCTTTATCAACAGACTCCGCATTAAGTGCAAAGATCCTTGAAAAATACAAAATCCAGCATGGCTATTAGCAGTGTGAAACCAAAATCCTATTCAAAATTAATGACTACCTTACAGAATGTCAGGTCATTGATCTAAGAGGCAGGAAATGACTGGAATATATAAAAAAATGGCTTGCCAACCTTCAAGTGTCTCAAGAAAGACTGCAGTGCATCTAAAGAAAGGGCAGTTGACACTGTTAAATCTTGAACAGAGATGGAGTTTATAGGTTTCCCGGTCCTGTTTCTGGACCTTCACTCCCCTAATCATAAAGGGAGAAGAAGGTGCACCTTCTTCTCCCCAGAGAGCACTCTTGTTAAAATTCCCCTCTGGCCATGTTTACACTCAGACAAAAGGACCGGATGGCTATCATTACAGCAATGGCCCTGAGTGCCCTTGCCAGCACCAAGCACTCTGCCCATTTCCCAGATGATCTGCTGGCTGGACAGGTTTGTACTTCTTCAAGACAGAGAGGCCCACAAAATAGGTCAACCAAGCAAGGCAAGCTGGGACTTGAATCTAAAAGCTAAACTGAAAAATTCCATACTGTGCAAAACTTGTTATGATGTCATCCTAAACAGCCTAAAAATTGTGCTAGCTTTCAGGCCTATTCATTCATTCATTCATTCATTCATTCATTTAAAGGGAGCTGGGAAAGTGGGACAGGAAGAAAGAAGGAAAATTTGATCACAAAATCATTTTGTTTCATTTATTTAAATTTAAGCACACACCCCTTTCCTCTCATATCCTGCCTTTAAAAGAAGTCCACATACACACATACACCCTTTGTCTGATGGAAGGGAAAAAACCCTGAAAATCTCAAAGTTTCCATACATTTTCATCCAGTTTGGTTGGCCTAATGTGAAAATCAGTTTGGATTTTTCTCTCTTAAATCCGACACCAACCTCTACTTTAAAGGAAGGATATTTAGAAGGATATTATGGTCCCTCATGGTCCATTAAAGAAGTATGTTTCTTTTCCCCTTCCCCAAAATACCTGCCTTACTAGTGGTTAAAGGCAGAAACTAAAATAAACCAAATACTATCCTTTCTTGTTTCCCAAACAAAACCTTAACAGGTCAGACATTTTACTTTCTAAATAAACAAGGAAAATGTAGGAAGAGTGGTTAGAAAAAGATATTAGAAATGAAGATGTCAAAGTGTCACAGAGACAAGCCACTGTGTTTTCGCCCTTCCGGGGCGTTCTAGCACTCAAAGGAGGGACTCAACATTGTTTTGCCAGGCTAGATTCGGACAATGGTAGTTTACCTTGTCAGTCTGGAAGCTGACTGCAGAGCCATATCTGCAGAAGGTCACAAAATGCTCACAGTTGTTCCAAAGCAAGCTGTAGTCTGTGGCACCCACTAGTTTTTCAGCCCTGGCCACCACCTCCTCGTTAGACAGGACACTGTCCTTGAACAGTTTATCCATGTGGTTCACCAAAATAGAGCCTCCATAGGCAAAATCCTCCACTGTGTCCACCCGGATCCTGGCCATTTTGGCAATGACACCCAAGATGAGCCGCTTATTGGTCACCACTCTCTGGATCTGTTTCTTGTCAACAGTGAGAGCTGGCAGGATGTCCGGCATTAGGTGAGCCACCCGGTTGTCACCCAGGTAGATGCCAAAGTGAACGAAAAGGGTGCGGGGTACCTCCAGCAAATCACCTGGCTTGAAATAGGCTGTGTCATAATAATTGGTGCCTTTTTTCTTTTCTTCCTCCTCTTCGCTGGAGCTCATGCCAAGAAGTTTGGCCAGGAAGAGAAATTTTTCAAGGAGCAGGGAAGCTATTTCATACATGGGATTTTTCATGATCTTATTCTTCTACAGCCACCCTTGCAGCTGCGACAGCTCTTGCCTCACTCTGCTTCAACATCTTGCTTTTTTACCACAGTAAAAGGGGCTGGTCCACCAGCAGCATCCACTTTGATTGGCAGACAGGGCAGTGGGTGGTCACTGTGAAGTGAAAAGGATCTTAACTTAGAAAGTGCCTCTTTTAGAAAACATTTTACTGGAGGCCTGGTTATGGATTCACTTTAGAGGACACAGCAGGAACAACATCACCCCTAGACCACTTGCCACTTCCAGGATTTCTTTGTTAAGAAGCAAGCACTGAATAAATGCTTTCACAAGGATGTATGGAAATGCCAACGTATCACTCTTTTTTTAAAAATCCAAATGCTGTTGCATTGTGACATATGACACAAACTCACTATGAGAAAACATTTGCAGACCAAGACTGGAATCCAACACGAACACTTACTTGAAAGTAAATTACCAATGGGCACAATGGAATTTACTTCCAAAGAAACACACAAAGGATTGCTTTGGAAAATTGTAATCTTAAGCATATTTATAGCATATGGAAATTCATCTCACTGGACATTACATCCCAGTAACTATGTAGATGTGATGTGCAACTCTGTGCATGTTCACTAGGAAGTAAATCTTACTGCACAGTGTTCAAGATCACATCCTTAGACTTTCCATTGAAATGCAATTATAAGGCTCATCAAACCTAATCATATAGTAAGTGAAAAAGGCACTGCCAAATGAAATGTTCAGTTTTGGCATATATATTGCATCTTATTGGATTTTTGCCCATTTATATCATAAATGTACTGATTGCAAGATACAGAAATAGACATGTGAACCAAAACAGAATCAACCAAATGCATCAGAAATGTGATGTATGTACAGATTTGGAGTCTCTGAATCTGTCAGAATTATTTAGATAGCATCTGAGGGGGGGGGCTGCCATATTGTTAGCCGCTGCTTGATTTGCAATTCTAAGTATAAGGCATTACCGTTTCCATGTGATAACTACATCATTATCCTATGCAACTTTTCATGGGGTATTCATTGGAACCTATTCTTTCCCCAGATCTGAAATACATCCCTCTTGCATTTCAGAAAAGCAGCCTCTCTCTATGGAACTGGGGAAGAACTGTGTGTTTCTCTTATGGAGCAAAAGAGAGACAAAAACATAACCCAGTGGGATACCAGGTTGGCTCATTTTCAGATACAGTACCACCAAAACTTCTCCTAAGTTCAATAGAATGAAGATGCAAAAACTAAGGAGGGGGAGTCGTCATGTGAAACGTTTAAAATGAGAAATTTATCTGAGCAGGATTGTTGGAGGACTATAATCCTCTTCAGATGCATGAAGCGCAATATGTGAGCCTCAGGTAGTTTAGATGTCTGGCTGCGGAGCGCACGACTGCAAGTGCGATGTTGGCTTCCCCACCCACCGTGCATCCCAGAAGAGTCAGCCGGGGGGGGGGGACAATGGGCAAGCTGCACCGTCCCAGGGCGTCTTCAGAAGAAGGGAAGGGTAACTCAACATCTGAGTACTTTCTACCTAGGAAACCCTGGAAAAGGTGGCCAGAATCGACGTGACGGCAAACAATTACAATATTAATTATTATGGATCTGACAAAAGTAGGTGGCAATCTACAAAAAGCTCGGCGCCCCAATCGATCTGTTCCCCTTAAAGGTGCCACGAGGCTTTTTCTGGGACAGAGTCAAGCCGGCACCTCTCGGAAAATCCGGTTTCCAAAAGCGAGCCCCGGGAGGTATTTGGGGCGTCGCGAAGGGGGGGGGGTCAGACGAACGTGCCCTGAAGGTTGCTAGCTCGGAAGGCGAAGGCAACGTGGCAAGGGCTTCACCGCTGGATTTCGTGCTTCTCCAACAACCCCCCCCCTCCGCCCGATGCAAAGCAAGAAATCCGGCCACGAAGTGCCCCACAAAAGCACACCTCCGCCGGACTCGAGACAACTCCCTCCGCCCATCACACCTCTCACCCCCTATACACACACACACCCACACACCCACCCGCGCCGGAGGGCTGAAGGACCGTTTCCGTATCCACGCTGCGAAGGATGATGGATGGCGGAGGCCATTCATCTTACCTGCAGAACGGAGGGGGTGGGCTTGAGAGCCGGGGAGGAGAAGGAGGCCGGCCCTCCCCACTCCGGCTCGCCCCAACCCTGTGGCTTTTTCCCCGGCTTCCGCCGCCCGGCGCCCCGTGGCTCAGCCCCGCCGACGGGCAAAAAAGCCGAGAAGGCGCCCGGAGCACCGGAGGAAGAAGGGGGCGTGGCCCGAGGGGAAAGGGGCGGGGTTCTTCTGCTCCTCCCCCTCCCCCGCCAAAAGGGAGATCGCCCGAGAATTCGGTTTTTCCCACGCATTTACCTTGAAACTGGCGCCCGGCAAAGCGAGGTCTCTGATCGGCTAAGAAAACAAATGCAGGAGTTCGAATACGTACTATGGCCTGCTTTGGGCATCAATTTCCCTTTTCTTCCGTAGAACTGAATTTCAAAAATGACAGCAACTTAGAGTCAGTGAATCTTGGCCTTTCTCATTGCTTGAGCATCTGCAAACTGGGTGGTTAGCCAGTGGTGGGAGATGCAAGCCCAAAGGCCTGTTGGAACTGAACTGGAAAAGTAATGTTTAATTTCATCCCTATTCCCATCATAGGGGTTTCAAGGTATAAATCATTCAGCAGTGGTTAAGCTTTGCCGCCTTCTGCACAAAAGTTACCCTGAATGTCACTGTCTGTTACCTGTGTACAGTCCTCTGCCAGCCTCACTTTTGACTACTGCTGCTACTCTCATTACTATCAGAACTGTCCGTTCTCTTCAGCTTTGACCATTCTGCCTTGAGCGACTTTGTTGACTGTTCAGACCTGTTGACTGAGTCCAGCTTCCTGACAACACTGCTCTGTGTTTTTGTCATTGTTTTTTCTCACTGGAAAAGACAATGATGCTGAGGAAAGCTGAAGGCAGCAGGAAAAGAGGAAGACCATACATGAGATGGACTGATTCAATAAAGGAAGCCATGACCTCCCAAGTTGTAAAATCTGATCAGAACTGGCAAAGATAGGACTTTTGAATGCCATTCATTCATAAGGTCACCATTAGCAAACAGCACCCGATGGCACGTTAAGAACAACCCCACTTTCCATCATTTTTTCACATTGTGCTGTTTGCCTTCCTCAACCAGAACAGGAAGCCCTGCTACATCAGCCACTTAATGCTGCATCAGCCACATAAACAATGGACAACTTGTGGTTGTTCAGGTGTTGTTCGACCGCAGTTCCCATCCTGCTGCACCACTGCCTATGCTTTGTAAGGCTGATGGGAATTCCAGTCCAAAAACAACTGGAAGGCCTTGAATTAACCAGGCCTGACCAAAAAGCTTGTTTGGAATGACAATGGGTATGCGGGTGTGGCAGTGAAAATGCAAGAGGAATGCCCTCAGGATTCTTTAATAACACTGTCAGGATTAATTGGGACATAATTTGTAGGGAGCAGAAGATAAAGCAGCCTCCCCCAACTTGGCACCCTCCATAGTTGTTGAACTACAATTCCCATCATCTCCTGCCAGCATGGGCATGGGAGCTACAGTTTGCTATACCTGGAGAACACTAGGTTGGAAGGTGGCTCTAAATCCTCAAACCGACCCTGGTCTCTCTACTCCACAGAAGGTGGTGGAGGTCATCTCTGGAACTGCAATGTGCCCCTCTGACTCTCTCCGCCAGCCACACATTGCATCAGTCTGAGAGTGGGGAGCATGCTGTCTTCTAGAGAGATTTCTCTGCTCCACCAGTGAGTTTCAATAAGCTTGCAAAACAAACATACTTCTCTTTTTCTCCGCAGACTCTGAATGTCACAGGCATCCCCCTTGCAAAGGGGAAACAAATTATAATGTGCAAGACTGGTCAGGTAGCCTTCAAAGCCAAACAGCACAATGGAGGCTGCTGGCCCATCAGGGTAAGTGGTGCACTGCCCTCTCCTGCCTGCCTTCATACTGAAATGGAAAGTCAGGCCACTTCTGTGTTCCTCTCCTCACACACTGATGCTTTTGTTGCATTTTTTTTAACCTCTTGCTAGAATTGGATGCTCCATTTTGCCTCATGCCAGTCTGACTGCATGAAATTATTCATGAGCCTGCACCCTATTGAAATCCAATTCTTTGCTCATTAGGCACAACTACCTGATTTGACTGTAAACCTGGCCTAATGACTAATTCGTTTTCCTACTTTGCTGCCCCAGTGGGACCAGCCACCACTGGTTCATTGGTCAGCATCAAAATCTGCACAAAAATCTTCTGGAACAAATGTTTTCCAACTCTGGATTTTTTTTTGTTCTGTGCTGTCAAGTCAGAACCTATAGTGATCCTAATGGGGCTTTCAAGGTAGGTGAGATATTGAAGGAGTGGTTTTACCAGTTCCACTCCTCTAGGGAGTTTACATGGCCTGGTAGGGATTTGAAACATGATGTCCAAAATCCAAATTAATCATTCCATCCACTACATCACACTGAATATCCCTGAATTTGGCTAGCAGATATGAAAATGTACTGTAGTCAGACACTGGAATAACAGCCCTGCATCTCCTACATTTCCTTAAAACAGAAAATGTTAAAATGATTGAACAAGCCAATGCTTCTGTCCTTGAGAAATATTCCCAGATTGCTTTTTTTTAGCTGCCCATGTAATTGTTTGAAGGTTGTTTTAACAAATGGGACAGCAGGACCCCAACAGCCTAAAGGGAATAAGAGATTAATTAAGAGCTTAATTGCCTAGCTCTTCATTGTATCCGGTATGCAAGGATCCTTATGGCCACCCAGACAGATCTTATGTTATTCTTTTTAAAGCTAAATATTTTAAATGGTACCAATTCTTCCGTTTACCCCTGAGATTTAGCTGCAGAAATACTAACAAAAAACAAAATCAAAATCAAACAGGTACAACTTACTGTACTATTTTCAGTAGCTGGAGATCAGATGGAGAGGCAGCTGTTTAGATTCTTAGAAAAAGCAACACAACCTTTCTAAATTGTTTCTTACTGCCTTGTTTTCTTCTTTAAGTAGAATTTAAATCTTAAATGAAACCTTATCCAAATGGCTGTGGACAAATTACAATTAAATCTAGAGAAGAAAGGTGCCAGGAAACCAGAGAAGAAATTGCTTGGGTAAATATCCAAAGGAAGGTAGGAAAACAAACATTTATTTTCTGGCTACTTCCACTAACAAGCTACAGAAACCACTGGCATTTTCACCTTAGCCAGCAAGCTGGCAAAACTGAAAGTGTGGGATGGGGGGAGGGGAGAGAGAAGCCAAAATATTGCAGCACTTTAAAGATCAAGAAATCTACTTCAATATGAGCTTTCCTGGATCAAAATCTACTTACCAAACAAGCTCATTAGCAGAGACAGTGAGAGCATCAGGACAAGGAAATAGGAAGTATTGCATGGCAGCTTTTAAAGAAAATACAAATTGCTGCTGCAGATCATTATTAAACTTCAGGTTCAGGCACTGGGTATTATAATTGTCTTGTTTCGTGCTGTTGGAAGCTTCTGAGAGCAGCTGAACCTGAACTGTAACTGAAATTATGGCTACATTAATGAAAGGGAAACATCTAGTCTGGGTTTGTTTAGAACTGTGGGTCTTGATTAGATTACTCCTTCTGATCACTTGAAAATTGCTCCTGCAGCCCATGTAGTTGTGATCTGGTCAACCACACATTGGCATTAGATCGCTCCAGTTTTGGTCCATTTGGTCACAAATATGCCCTTCCTCTCCTCACTCTCTGCATCCTGCCTTCTCTTTTGCAAAAGCTGCCAGCCCCTTGGGAAACAGCCTGCTTCCATTTGTCTCTGGGTGCACATTACTGCTGAATTTTTATCCAGCTGGTGACACTTGTAGTGTGTTCTTCCCTTCCTCCTTAAAGCCCTATATGCTGCCCCAAACCTAGCCCCAGGATTCTTCCAACCTTCTGGAGCTGGCTTTGTAGATGTGCAGAGGCCTTTTTTTTGGAGGGGGTGTGTTTCTTTCCAGTGTACCATATTCCAGTGTTGACAACTGAAGCTACGCTGCAGCAGCTCTGCAGATTCTCCACCTAACTTTTCCCACCCTCTGAATTGGTGCATCTCTTATATCTGGATTAAACATCAAAAACCATCTTGTTCAATATACAAACTTCAGTTAATAGGGTCATAACAAAATATACCTAGCAACAAATATTCCATACTAAATGGCTGAAATTCTGTGGCTTTACCTTGCATAAGGCTGATGATGTGGTGAGTTTTCATAAATTAAATCCATTGGGATTCCTTTCATTGTGAACCATGAGGTAAGAGAGGGATTGATTTCCAAAAATTGCTGCCGCCACCCTTCCTTTCTGACGGCCCCCAATGGCTTCACCACAGGAAAGGAATCCCAAGAGAGCCTCAGAAGCTTGGGGGTGGTGGGGAGATTGGAAATGTTTAATTAAAAACAGCCATGTGTGATCACCTCATCAAACTTATGCAAAGTCTTGCTGCTGGATTTCAGCCAATATTTAAGGAAACAAAAAAAAACCATACAAATAAACTATCTATCTATCTATCTATCTATCTATCTATCTATCTATCTATCTATCTATCTATCTATCTATCTATCTATCTATCTATCTATCTATCTATCTATCTATCTATCTATCTATCTAAATTGAAATGCATGTACATAAACTATCATGTTGTGAAAGTAGTATTTTTTTTCCTGTAAGAGCTGAGATAGTAACTGGGAGTGCCAGAGAGGCAGTTAGAGAGTGGGACAGAGGGAGTGAGAAAAAAAAGATGGTGAAGCGTTTAAACAGTTAGGGAGAAAACTGTGAAGTGTTCAGACAAATTATTAGACAGTTGGTGTGGTAGAGGATAATAAAGAGTTAAAAGGAATTATGACCTCCAGGAAAACATCATTAGGATTAAACTGTTAATAAAAACCACTTATATGCAGGTTAAATAAAGTTATCTTACTCTGTCTTATTTTCATTTAACCATATCTGAATTTCATATCCACTTCTTGAAACTTTGCTCTTAATTTTCATAGCATCCCTCTTTATTGTTTTCTAAAGGCTGGATTAGATTTAGCTTTATTCCAAATGAAGAAAATAATCCAATATCCACTCATCTGCTGAAATCCAGTAGTAAGTCACAGTTAGAGTATGCTCATTGAAACACTGGAACCTACAGAAAAGTTAGGTAGCCAAATCCCCACTGATTCAATGGACCTAGTCTAGTAGTAACTCACTACAGCATTTCAGCCAAAGGAACTCTGATGGAACATGTAGGATTCTACAGTAAGCAGCTGCTCTAAACAATTTCTTACAGACCTGCTGTTGCACAGCTCTCCTCCAACTGTTGCTCTCTGCCTACCCTGTTGAGTACTGTGCATACATGATTAATTTCCCTTTCTTTACAGGAGACGTGTTTCCTAGTTTTCATTAGGTTAGATCATAAGAAGAAATGCCAACTCTTCAGTTTATTTTGTGGTGTGGAGAAATGCATGATATGGTGAAAATATGCTTAAGGCCAATTGATTCCCCTAGTTCTTCAAAAATGATGAAAAGCAAGAAGGATCAGCTGTTATCATGCATGTGTTTTCACACACATAAGGGGAAAAATCAGCCTGGGGAAAGAGGTTTAGCCACTCTCCATGTGATGCCTTCCAATTCCTACTACCAGCAGCTGTTTCTTCTTACTTATTTGCTGAGAGAAAACATACTGAGTGTAAAATGGCCCAGTTAATAGTTAAGGTAAGAACCCGTTTTCTTTAATTTTCCTTCTTTTTAGAGCCCAAGTAACAGTAAAGTTAAAATTTAACAAAGTAACTGTGATATGTCCTATCTTCTGAATCATCAGATTTGTCTTCCAAAATCAGGTACATCCATGCCTACTGCAGAAAATGGCCTATGTCAGATATTAAATACAGTAATTCTCAGTCAAACCTGAAGAATGAAGTGGGGACAAGATTAAAGCTAATATTTATGAACAAAGATGCTTATAAATTATTTTTTCGTTAAACTCTTCTGTGATCCCAGTTTCCTTTCTACGAGCAACAAGATGCACTCAGAGAAAGAGGGTTAGAAATCACTAACATCACGCTCTTGGGATATTATTATATCATGATGTATCTAGGAAAAATAAACAGACTGAAGAAAGATTGAACAGGAGACACAAGAAGCCCAGCTGTACTATTTAACCTTTATTAAATGCTAAGAATAAATGCAATACTGTAAGAGATTATGATGTCACAAGACAACATTTTTTATTCCAAGCTAATTACCTGAATTTCTTCCTCTTGAATATGCCCAAATGTACTTTATACTTTAATTAGTCTTCTGCAGAGCAAGTCCAAGTGGTGAACAAATGTAAAATAAGAATGGCTTGAGCTATACTTTGGGAAGAAATTATTTGGATTGAGTGTAAAGCCTTCATCTTTTCTGTTATTCATTCACACATATAAAGACATAACAGGCTCCCAGTAAACTCAGCATGCAGTGTGTTCATACTACAACTTATGATTAAAAGTAAGAAATCAGACGTAACATGTTGCTGAAGGTTCTGGCAAAATCAGCATAGCTCAAATCTGTGTACCAAAATTTCATTTTTATAAGCAGTCCTGAAAATCTGACTCAAGTGCAAATAATAATTCAATTTTATATACAACAGTACTCAACCATTTTCAGAAAAACATTTTTAAAATGCATGCATTTATGTTCACTTTTCTGTGGCTATAATGCAGGATCTATGGATCTGGACTTCTGATGCTTCAGAGACCCTTAGCCATTATCTGCACAAGCAATCCAAATCTTATGTCCCTTCTGTGAGTCAGCAGTGAATGTTTGTGTGTACTCATCCAAAGGAAGTACCTTATTAATTGACTGTATTGTCAATGCTGAGCACCATAGGCCTTGGCTAGAATCCACAGAACAAGCAACTTGTTCTGCATGCTCTCAGAAGGGGCAGGCACAGTGTTTTTCACATTTCAACAGTGTCCATTCCCATCCTCTTGACCAAGCACTGGGCAATTAAAAGTATCACTTAATGCAAGTAACTAGTGATTTAGAGATAGTATATATACAGTGGTACCTCAACTTATGAACTTAATCCGTATTGGAACGGCGTTCATATGTTGAAAAGTTTGTAAGTCAAGGCAAAATTTCCCATAGGCTTTCCCATAGGAATGCATTGAAAACTATTTAATCCATTCTGGCTGTTTTTTGTTATGTCAAGGCGCTGTTCGCAAGTAGAGGCATTAGTTCCCATAGGAACTAATGCAAAGCCAGTTAATCCGTACTCTACCACCTGGGGAAATTTTTTTAAAATATATTTTTCTGCTTTTGACCCAAGATGAATTTAGGTCAAAAAAAGGGCAGGAAAGTTTTTTTTTCGTTCGTAAGTCAAAGCTCCATTCACAAGTTGAAGCAAAATTTTGCAAAAAGAGCCGTTTGTAAGTAGAGACGTTCGTAAGTCGATGTACCACTGTACAGGCAATAACAACTTTTTGTGTCTGTAAGATAGCATCTGTTTGTAAACAACAATGCTTTATTACTGGCAAGGTCAGTATTATATTTGAAACTCTCTGTAGTTGCAATGTTATTGCTATATCAGAAAGCAGTGAAGAAGGACAGGCAGGGTTTTTTTGCTAGTGAGGCGGCAGTGGTTATCTCTCAGAAAGATACTCTGTCATTTATTGCATAATTACAGTCACAGGAAATAAACAGATGCTTCATCCAAAGCATTAGACAGGAAATATTAGTCATGTACAAAGCAAAAAAATCTGGCATCACTCAGGACACTTCCTTATCTGTGCATTAAGAATTACTTAAACCTTTGACTGATAATTGCTATTATTACATTTAGCAAATTCTTGATGTTCTACTTCACAATTAGAGATGGACGCTTACCACAGTTTGGTGGATCAGACTCGCAGCTGTTGTATGGGTGCCCCGGCAGGTGCACTGTCAGAGGCAGTGCCACTCCTCTTAGGAGGAGGTGCCCATGGCAGGAGGCAGGGTACGGAATCCTGTGGTCTCAGTCTGCCCAACTGTGCCAAACTGCCACAAATGCCCATCTCTATTAGCAATTTATTTCTGAGTGATGCTCACTTAAGTCATTTTTAACATGGTTTCAGTATTGAACAAAACTGATGATGTCATTCTATCAAAGACTTTAAATCTGGAACATTTTTAATTTTGAAGTCCAATAGCATCTGCCCAAGTGCTTTGCCCTAGAAAAGGAAAAGAAGATTTAAAACATCCTTATTAACTTGCAGAATGGAACACAATAGAGTCTTTGGAAATACGGTACATACCTGCATAGCAAAACAGAAAAGGCACAAACTGGACTTTAGAACAGAACAGACTGTTTTAATTGACTATGCCCTTGGCGGCAAAGGCTACAAAGTAATTAATTTAAACACTCGTCCGAACAACACATGTGGTTCATTTTAATGAACAGAGGAAAACTGTACAAAGAGATTGCATACCATCTTAACAAAGAGGTTGAAAACAAAAAGCTATGGAATGCAACGTACTGTTTGGTCATTCAAACTGAAAGAGAGGCAGAAAGCTCATATTTGCTGAATCAGAAGCAAAAGATAATTAAGCTTATGGAGATATTAGGCTTCCAAGATGCTCACAGTGTTGCAACACCCATGCAAACAGATTTTCTGAAAAACAGAAAGGTGAGTGAACCTCTGCCAAACAGCAGCAGGTACAGAACAGGTATAGGAAAGCTTCTGTCCCTAACAACCACTACCAGACTTGACACAGCTAATACTATTACAGTGCTGAGCAGAAAATTCAGTTCGCCAACACAA